GTAAATATTAAACATAAAAATTAAATTTTTCCTAGATGTATATCTCTTGATGAGATGGTTGGGCTTTTTCTTTTTTCTGGTAGCTCATAATCCATGGATAAATGTTAGCTATTCCTGAATGAAACAGAGGTTCAAATTGATTCTATTTTTAATTTTTACAAATACATGAAATGAGAAATCCTGTTCATATTAAAAAGTCAATGGGAAGAGGTTATAGTAACATCATGCGGTTCTTTGAATTCCTTCCACATCATACGCCAACAATCACATACTCATTTACCATAAAAAAATTATCCCTAGAGATAATCACTGACTTTTGTGATGATTTTATTTTTCCTTATAGTTTTATGTATGTATCCCTAAACAATATAGTTTTATATTTGAACTTTATATAAATTTAATTATACTTTATGTATATTGTTGTGATTTGCTTTTTTTTATTGTGGCAAAGTATACACAACATAAAATTTACCATTTACAAGTGTGCAGTTCAGTGGCTTTAAGTACATTCCCCTTGTACAACCATCACCACCACCACCCACCTCCAGAACTTTTTCAGCATCCCAAACTGAAACCCTGAATATACTAAACAATAATTTCCCATTGCCCCTAGCCCCAACCCATCAATCACCATTCTACTTTGTCTCTATGAGTTTGCAACTCTAAATATGTAAGTGAAATAATATTTGTCCTTATTTGTGATTTACTTCTTTAGATATACACTATGGTTTGTAAAATTCATTCATGTTCATGGATATAGCTATTGCTGTGTATCTTCCTGCTGAATAGAAACTATTCATTCATTCTTCTATTGATAGACATTGGATTGTTTCAAGCTTGTTACTATCATGAATAATGCTGCTAAAACCTTAGAGTGATGTATCCTGGTGTCCACTTGCAAGGGTTTTTCAACAGTGCATACCTAGGAGTAAAACTGACAGGTATGCGCATTTTCAACTTCACTAAAGTTGAACTTTCCGAAGTAATTATTTCAATTTACACTCCCACAATCATTACCCAAGTCAATATTTGTTAATTTCAGTACTTTTGCTTATCTGGAAGTTTTTTTAAAAAAACATGGACACCTTTATCAGACCAAGGAAGTGCCCTGTAACCTATCAAATTGTAACATACACTAATTGAATTTCTAACTCTATCTAATTGCATTCATTTAATTTCTTATATTAAACCAATTCTGCCTTCCTGGGATAAAATGAATATGTCATGATTTCTTATCGTTTTATACACTTCCAGATTGAGCTTGCTAACATTTTGTTTCATATTTTTACATTAATGTTCATGAATGGGCTTCAATTTGCCTTTTTCATACTATCTTCAGGTTATCCAGGTAACTCAAAATGAATTAAAGAATGTTCCCTCTTTTTTCATGCTCTGGAAGAATTTGTATAAATTATTTATTTACCTTTGAATGAAGAACTAGCTAATAAAGACTTGCAAGCATAGAAATTTCTTTCTGGAAAGATACATACCCACTGATTTAATTTCTTTAATTATTATAGACTATTCAGGTTTTCTACTTCATGAAAACAGCTTATTTTTTCTATTTGTCCAATTCATCTAAGTTTTCTAATTTATTGGCATATATTCAAGTAATGTCATTTATTGTTGAAGTCATGTCTCCTTTTTCATTCCTAATATTTATTATGTATGCCTTTTGTTCTTCTTGATATACCTCATCAGATAATTGTCAATTTTATCAGCTTTTCTAAAAGAAATAAATTGTAGCTTATTCATTTATTCAATTGTTTTAATAAATATTAAGAGTCTAACGTGCTAGTCATTTGAGATACCAGTAAACACATAAAAATCCTTGTATTTATAAGCTTACATTCAAATGTTAAGAGAGAGGCAAAAGCAATAAAAAAAAATTTT